CAGGTTTGTGACAGCTGGTTTAACACACTTGGCCAAGGTATCTAAATACACATTGGGGGTCTCAGTGGGGGTACCAAAAACCATCACCTCTGTCTTTTTATCATTGAATTTTAAAAAGTTAAGAGACATCCAAGCCTTAATGTCATCAAGATACTGAAGTTATGGCTGTGTGGAGTATGTGCCTTCTTTCTTTAGAGGGACATAGATCTGACAGTCATCAGCATAAAAGTGGAATGCAATGCCGTGCTTTCTCAGTATACAACCAAGAGGAAGCAAATATAAAGAGAAGAGGAGGGGGCCTAGAACTGAGCGATGTAGGACCCCCCACCCACACACACACACACACACACACACACACGAGGACCCGAGGTTGATGGAGCTTGACCACCCACAGGGGCAAGAAAGTTATAAGTACTAGATACTGATTTCTCTTAAGTAAGATCATGAAATGTTCTTTCCATAGGTTTGACTGAACATGAGATCCTTTCCCAGGCCTTGGTCTTCATCTTTGGAGGCTACGACACCACCAGTACCACTCTAACTAACATCCTTTATAATCTGGCCACCAACCCTGATGCGTTGCAGACCTTACACAAAGAAATTGATGCTAAGCTGAAGAAAGATGTACAGTAATTCATCACATAATTTGTTGCCATTCTCGATTCAATGGTGGACACCATTTGCATATTTTGTTTTTATGTTTGCCTTCTTCTTTATATTTTGCCTAGGCACCCATTTCATATGAAGAGCTGACCGGTCTACAGTACCTGGACCAAGTTATACTTGAATCAATGCGACTGATTCCCCCTGCCCCTCGAATTGACAGGGTGTGCAAAAAAACTGTGCAAGTGAATGGACTCACCATCCCTGAAGGAACCACAATTGGGGTTCCTGCGTGGGTGTTGCACAAAGACCCACGCTACTGGGACTCACCTGAGCTTTTCAGACCAGAGAGGTAAATGTACGTGTAGGTGTGTCATCACAAGGTTATAAAGAACCTGGTCATCCTGTAATTAGTGAAACCTGGGACATTATGCTTTGCTTTATCTTTGGTAGATCAATGAGGTGCCATATGTAGGTCCCTTCACTGATGTTCTCAGTGGTTCAATTGAGAGACAGCCAGATACGCATCCCAAAACCTCTGCAGTGTTGTCTGCAGCTGTTTTGAGTCATTATTATTCTGGAAGCTGGCTGGTTCCCTGAGACTGAGAGTGCTGCACTGTGGGACTGGTTTTCTTCAATGCTTTTTATCTAGTGTAGCTTCCATCTAAGTACTGCTTTGATCATAGGTTTTTCCCTGCTGTAAGGGGACTGGCCAATGGGTCCCTAATCCCCGAACAAAGCTTTAGAAGTAATAGAATACTTTTGCCCTGATCTATGCCCCGTACTCTTTACGTTGTAGGTCTACAGACTGCCTAAAAATCATGGCTCAATACAAAAATAATTATTTCACTTTACATATCTACAAGTTTGTTTGATCTGTATCTGCAGGTTCAGTAAAGACAACATGGAGGAGGTGAACCCATACGCGTACATGCCATTTGGACTCGGCCCTCGTAACTGCGTTGGGATGCGCTACGCCCTCCTCGTCATGAAGATGGTTATTGTCCATCTCTTGCAGAAGTACACTTTGGAAACATGCAAAGAGACCATGGTGAGAGCAGCAAACCTCCACATTCAGACTGTCATGGTACTCTGCTGTCCTGTCACTGATGTTACATCCATTTCTTTTCTTTTTTTTAGATTCCACTTCGGTTTGACTGGAAGTTTCAGCCAGTTCAGCCTGTAAAACTCAAGTTTGTTTCCAGAAATAAGTAGTCTAAGAGGGAACATCTCCAAATCCGCTCAAACATGTTATTTTATGATTTTGCTTTAATGTGAGGGAAGTGCTGCCAGGATGACATTGACCATGTAATTTCTTTTTTCAGCTGCTTTGTGATAAATCAAATGTATTTTAATTCATTTTTATTATGTTGAATGTTTAATCTGAGTTTTCTTAAATGTACACAAATAATAATGAAGAAATAAAGTGGCATAAAAACAAAATGAAGTTAGAGTTATCTTTTGTAATTAAATTTTTATACCTTAAACTTGGCGACATGAATACAGCACAATAATTGAGTTGACTGATGTTGTTGTCTGAAAACCACCTGAAGCTATGAAGTATACAGGTGAGCTCAACATTGTGGTGTTCTTGGATGTGTTTGGGTGCGTGTGTGTTTGCATTATAAAGTTTCCTTTGTAAGACCCATCAGATACACACTTTTTATAAAAGATGCATTACACAATCAGTCATCAGTGCCAATAGTATCTAGGGGAAGAGCCAGCAGGTGACCTGATTATCACAACCTTTTAAGGAAATATTGCAGTAGGTTGTAACTAAATAAACTGTGACCTAGAAAGCATCTACTTTTAAGTGGAGCCACTGACACCAGGTTGATTTACCCGCCCCAATGAGAATTTATCAGCAGCAAAGGTGAGACAGTGAGCATAAACACTTTCATCTTGTGTGCATACATGGCATAGAGCCTGCAGATGCTACATGATGGGTTAAAGTGTCACTGACAATAATATAAGAAGATAATCTGGAGTGGTTGCTCCTGTGTTTTCCACCTTTTCAATTGGTGTAGTGTGGAGGTATGTAATAACGACAGGAGAGGTCTCAGTGTCTCACTGCAACTTTATTAACTCACTCTCAGAACTTCACATACAGTAAGCGCCAAAATCTCCACCCCAGCACTTCCCTTCAACTTGGGTGTGAGTGGAGCCACCTGGTGGTCTGCCACAGTAGCACAAAAAACCCCCCTAACCACAGTGTCTCTGCAGCACAGGGAACCCTGCTAGTTTTCATTCTAGGCATCCAGTCTGAAAAGCTCAAGCCCTCACCTTCAGGTGTGAGGTAACCTTTCATGACATCATTCTTTGCACGTTGTCACCAGAAGCATTTTTAAGTCTGTCTTAATGTGTCCACCTAAAGTAATTGAGCAGGATTTATGAAGTGGTGGGAAAATGTTCTAGAAAACATCAATATCACAGTTGTAGACAAAAAGGAAACCATAAAGTTCACCAATACTCCTCCACAAAACTGAATTTATCCTCAAAAATCTAAGTAAGCAGAATGCTACTTGGAAGACTGGAGGAAACGTTTTCTGTGTCAGACCCAGCTCAAGCCTTTCATCAGTCATCACAGAAAAATAAAGAAACAGTACTCATAAAGTTTACTGATGCTATTAAAAGGAAAAATTCCCTCAGTGTGGAGTGTCTAACATA